ATTGATACATGTAAACAGAGCAGAAAGATGGATGCATTGGAAGCAATTTGAAATCATATATGAGATTTTTAAAATCATATTTATATGCAAATTAATTACATTACAGGTGTGAATTTCATTAAAATCTACATTATAAAGTATTGGATTCAAACATCCTGACTTTGCTGTGCTTCATTTTAAAATGTTATTAAATTCATGTCATAAAAACATTTGACTGAGAAGTTGTGTTCAAAATTATTGGTTACAGTTTACCATCTATAAATTATTACAGCCAACATAACAGGAGTCACATCTCACATTGCTTTATCATCTTTGACAGTTATAAAACAAAGTCCATCAACTAAACTCATTAATGGAAGCAAATGTATTTAAGAGTTGATGGTAAGTATTCTACAATGCTAGATGATATTTCCTTACAGCATCCCTTTCTGCAACCAACATCTCATTAGTTTGAGGATTAGTTCCATTAATGCTGTGGGAGTGGGCAAGTGCTGCTGCCATTGGACATGGTCAGAGGATGTTATAATCCAGAAAAGGCAGGATGTGGTTGAAATGTATTCAAATAATAGCATCTTCCAAACCACCCATGACCTCTATGACTTCAAAAGGACAAGGGCAGCAGGTACATGGGAACACCATCACCTCCAAGCCAGACTGTTCTGACCTAGAACTGCATAGTTGATCCTTCACTGTCACTAGGTCAAAAGCCTGGAATTTCCTACCAACTTTAGATAGACTGTTCAAGATGGCACTACATCATCACCTTCTGAAGGGCCATCAGGAGTAGCCAAGAATTGTTGACCTTGCTAGTGATGCTCATATCCTATGAATGAATTAAAAAAAGCAAAGTATGGGTGATGATGTAAGCAGGTTATTAACCTTAAACTGTGTTTAAACTGGAGGATCCAACACAAAACAACAGCTTCAAACAAGAATCCAGGTCGGAAGAATTTATTGCCTGACTCCCAGAGCAGTGGGTATGTTCAATATACTCAGTAAAAGCATATTATTGACAGAATCTTATAGACATGGAAGCAAGATGGCTATAGTGAGATTTATGGAAGAATTGGACAACAATATTGGCAACACTGATCTTGATATCTTTTGTTTTTGACAACCATTGCAGCAAGTTTCACGCTAAGCAATAAGTTACCAACTTAAAGAAGATGAATGCTAGCTAAAAAGTTTACTAAAGGCAAAACTTGCCTCATTAATATTCAGCCTTTTATTATACCATCTCACCTAAAAATCTAGATAATGTGAAATCTCAACATGAAAACCAGAGCAGCTACCTGGTGAATCCAGCTTGCCACTGGTTTCAAATGACCTCCTGTTGGATACGAGGCATTAGCATTTCAGGGCATGTTCCATTAGCACTGGCCAGACACATCCATGTCATTGACTTTCTTCCTACAGAGCTGAATATTCCTTTACATTGTTGAGGCTGCATTAATCCAAGTGGCAACCTCAAACCAGACTGGCATAATGTGGTGTCATCACTGTCACTGTTGTTCCTCAGGAAGTGAAAGTCCCATGTCTACACCACCCTATCTAGCAGTATCTCCAAATCTCTGCCCGCAAAGCAGGCCGCCGATTTCCCTTGTATGCGATATCTGGGACAAATGTCAGAAACCAAGCAAGGCAGCTCCGAACTTACAGTGCTTGTCTGGGTGCACAACAGACTGTTAAAGATGGTGCTGGTGCAAGGGATACTTTGAATTCTGAGACATCTACTGACTGGCGAGTTATTTTGGGAATTGTTTGGGGTAAGATTGAGCCAGAATCAGACATGATGGCTGCTATAGAGGCAGGTTAAGTAGTTAGTGAGGTGTGTTTAGTAAGATAACCAGAAATTTCTCTCGGCCTCATTGCAGAAACCACTCCAAAAACACTAGATGCAACTCAAACATTGCCAAAATAATGTAAGATTCTGCCTTCGTTTATTCAATTAACTGCTACAAAGGTATATTTTAGTTTGAAAAACAAATCATAAATAATTTGTGAAATGTAACCTGTCAGAAACTCAAGTGTGACTTGTAAATTCACTTTTACAACCTGTGGGGTTGCTTGATCACCCTGGTGAGCGTTCACTTGTTTGGGAGGAGTACATAGGTTCAGAAATTTCACAAAACACCGTGCTTCAATGGAATGCTGCCTAGAAAGGCAAATACTCTTGAAAATATTTAAAAAAGACTTTTTTTCATTAAAACAAAAAGTCATTGTAAATATTAATATATTCAATTCCGTCCAGGAGTTTCACTTGTGCACCGATAAATAAAAAGCACAGATGGAAACTGGCTCTTGGATTAGGAGTTGTGCATTTATCGTATGTTAAAACTACAAATAAATGCTTGTTCAACTGGGTAAATCTCTCTTTCTAACATTCACAATTTAGCTTTTTGGATTATTTGATAGATGAATTCAAAATTATTTCAGATTGGACAAGATTGATGGAAACACAATGTTTAAGTGGTTGTTGGTTCCGAAACAAGGGTGCATTGAAAAATGATCAATCATCCCGGTGGGAATATTTTCTTTTTGTCTTGCATCCTAATCCCAAACCCATATACTATATTAATTATCTACATTTATTAGAGACTTTACCAAATAAAATAATAAGTACATTTGTGGTTTGTTGCAACAATGACCCTTTTGAACTATCCATAATTGTAAAACCACTTTGTAATCAAGAGCATTGTGCTTGCCAACATACCATTCATAATACTATACCGACATATCAAATAAAACACTACAGTCGTCTTCCTTCAATGTCTCATTCAAGTAACTTCTTTATGTGTGAGCAAAGACATTGTGTGCTTTACATGGCTATTTGATGATAGGGTACTTCACCATTTATGGAGGTTCACCCAACCGAGAATTGATATCATATAGTAATTAAGGGCAGGCACTATGACTGTTTTTTCCAACACTGCATTGGGAAACTAAGGTTAATTATATTATTATTTAGTAGATTCATTATAAAAAAAAACTTTAGGATAATGTATTGACTTGCAGCAAACATGTCAGCATCTCATTATTCAACAAATTTAATCATTCAACTATTTTTACATGCACTTTTTGCAGATTAGCAGTTCACAGGTTGCATGGACACTACAACTTGACACTACAACTATAAATATGAATTAGTGATTTTTTCCTGGATTAAAAGGTACTCATCATAACATCCTGTTATATTCCATTTGAATTATAATTTTCTTTAGTATACATTATTGCAAAATCAATTCTTCCTCACTTTCCAGTGACTAGTAACAGACAGGTAGACGAATCACATTTCGGCTTCCATTACAAGTTTCATGGAAGAGGTCTTAACTCTAAACTCAGAGGCTATACATAGCTTGAGGGGTTCCAACTGCCATAAATGTTGAAGGATTTGCAGGATATTGTTCAATTCCTTTGGCCGCTTTACACGTGCAACTTTTTTATTCATTCACAAGACAAAGGCATCACTAGCTAAATTAGCATTTATAGCATTTAAGCAGACCAAAACTATTCACAGTGTTCTAGGTGTGGTCTGAACAGTGCCTTGTATAGCTTTTGCATGACTTCCCTAATTTTGTTTTACTCATTCACAGGATGTGGGCATCTCTGGCTAGGCCTGCATTAATTCCCATCTCTGATCGTTCAGAGGGCAGTTAAGAGTTAAACACATTGAGAGTCTGGAGTCACATGCAGGGCAGACCATGTAAGTAAGGATGGCTGTTTACTTCCCTAAAGGACATTAGTGAACCAGATGGGATTTTCTGGCAATTGACAATGAAATCATGGTCATCATTAGACTCTTAATTCCAGACTTTTTTTTAATTCGAACCCAGGTCCCTAAAATATTAGCTTCCTCTCTGGATTAACAGTGATAACACAAGTAGACCATTACGTCCCCTCCCCTGCCATGGTCATCAAATCTGGAGTGGGACTTGAACACAAAGCTGCCCACAACGCCGCACAACAAGGTGCAGAGCTGGATGAGCACAGCAGGCCAAGCAGCATCATAGAAGCAGAAAGGCTGACGTTTCGGGCCTAGACCCTTCATCAGAAATGGGGGAGGGGAAGGGGGTTCTGAAATAAATAGGGAGAGAGGGGGAGGTGGATAGAAGATGGATAGAGGAGAAGATAGATGGACAGGAAACAGACAGGTCGTAGAGGCGGGGATGGAGCCAGTAAAGGTGAGTGTAGGTGGGGAGTTAGGGAAGGGATAGGTCAGTCCAGGGAGGACGGACAGGCCAAACCTGCTCCTATGATGCTGCTTGGCCTGCTGTGCTCATCCAGCTCTGCACCTTGTTGTCTCGGATTCTCCAGCATCTGCAGTTCCTACTATCTCTGATTCAACAAGGTCGCACAACTTCCTCCAAAGATTTATGCCAATGTAAAAAAAATCAATGCACTATCATTTACTGTGTTTACTGAAATTAATGCTATGGAAAAAACATTGTAAATGTTTGCAAACGTCATAAACTGCATTCTAAATATTTTGACTAGAAATTCGCTTCAGCAATATTTTGATCAGGAATGTAAATGTTTAACCAGAAAATGTTGATCAGCAACTTCTTTTATTGCTGGAAAACAAAAGTGACAAAACTTGTGCAAATTGACAAACATAGCCTGGTGATGTTTCTATCATTCGTATCGTTCGATGCCATTAGGTTTAGCTTTGTTTGCAAGTACAGAAACGTAACATTTGCGTGAATACACAAAGGTATATTGTGTAAATACATAAATTTGTTGCTTTTCGTTGCATCCTCAAACAGAGGGGCATGAAAGGTTTACTCCGGACTGTGCCAGTATGTTCACAACACAGTGCACAGCCGGAGCTCTGTTATTTTAGGTTGAATTTCACTGCTGCTGAAATCAACACAGTAACTTCAGGTGGAAGGCTGAACTCTTGTGCGGCAGTGAACCATGAGCAGAAATAGTCCAAATCAGTCTCTCCCTCTCGCTCGGTTCCCAGGTTGTGATTAAAAGGGTCAGGTTGCTAGGCAACGTACTAAGGCACAGAAGGATCCCACGGTGACCCTTCGGGACGTCAGTAATATCCTCGGCGGTTCTCCATCAGAAACGGCGATTTTTAATCCTTCCAAAATAGAGATAGAAGAAAACTGAAATTTGTCCACGCACTGCCCTCACAAGTGGCCAGCCAAAGTTGACGGTGAGAGTAGCGGAACTAACAATGACCAGGAGCCGGTCACCAATCCCTACCCCCCACCCCCAGCACAAAACCCCAGACCTACCTTCGTGTAGTGCGCCCTCGCCGCCCGGCCTCACGCTCAGTGAGGACGCGCTGAGCTGCCGGCCTGTCTCCGCGCGACCCTGCCGACTCACGCGCAGCTCCCTCTGTCCCCGCGCAGCGCAAGCGCGCGCCGCCCCCACCAACCGCCACGCCGCGCGCATTCCCCTGGGCACAAGCCGGCGACATCGCGGCGCTGGTGGGTGGCCGGCTCCGGCTCCCGTCGGATGGGAGAGCGTAACATCCCGAAGAGAAAACGTACACAAACAGATCAGGGAGAGAAGGAACAACCAACATTGCGTTTTAAGGCTGTTGCAACCTCCGACTTCACTCTGGGTCTTTGTGGGAATTTTAAAATTAACTTTGATTGCACTTGAGTAGAATGGTGGAATCAGTGAGAGGTTGCTGTTACACTCAAATGCCGACTATCGCTGAGGACGTGTACCGGGAATACTGACGTGATTTAGGCAGAATAACATTCAGGCAAAGAAAACTGCTTTTCGAAATGGTATAAGCAAATGGGTTCTCGGTGTTTTGGGATATATAAGGTGCACACACTGGTTTCGGGTATCTCCACTTCTTGCTGTAGAGAGGTATCAGCAGTGTGTCTGAAAGATTAGGCAATTCAGTGTACAATTAAATGTTGAACAAGTGCCCCAGAATATCACTTACAGCCCCTCTACCACCACTGAAGGACGCTTGAATGTAGATTAAGTATCAAGATTTAAATGCATGACCTCCACCTGCTTCCAATAATTTTGGGCTGCGCCTCTGTCCTATCAATTCTTCATGCTTGTACAGCTCTACTTCAAAGGCACAGGCAAAACTTGTGTTGATAGCCTTACAGATGAGGATTGCTTGAATTCCCGAGGTCCCAAGGGAAACTACAATGTTTGTAGAGTACTCGCTTTGGATCTGACACATATCTCAAAGAATCCAGCTACGCTAAACTCAAGTGAAGGTCATAGTAGCAGACTGCAAGACATCAGCAATGTGCTCTGACAGCAGTACAGAAGTGTGAGGATAATAACCAATGTATTATTGCAAAACAGCACATAACATACGGATGCCAATGGATTTAACTCAAAGCAAGAAATGTTGACTTGAAGCCAAGGAGAGTGGTGAGGTTAATTCTCCAACCAAAATCTTAATTTAGCATGCCATCAAGATCACATGAATGGTGAGGAAGAATATTTCAGTACTTCATCTCAATGGCTTCCAGGATAAATGTGATGTGCTACATGCTCTGTTTTCCACTTCTGGCTAATTTGACTGCCATTATCATTTTTGCCTTTAGCATCAACATCGGTCACTCTCACTACCCCATCTCCTCACCAATATCCAAAGGATCCCCAAAGGAGGGTCCCAAGAAACAAGTAAATCAGGTCACCCAAGAGCAACATCAGCTTCAGCAGTACTCAATGCAATTACTTTCTGAACCCACCTGAGCTGTTATACAACAGGTAAGGTAGCATTATTTCCCAACAGCATCTTCTTTGGTTACGTTCATTCAATATAGCATGTAGCCTGAGGAAATTCTGCTATGTGTTGTCACATTGGTAAGGCATATTGGTAGTAATAGCTGACCACAAATCTCTTCCAATCTTGCCTTCACGTGATGGAAAGATTAGCAGATTGGTGAGTAATGTGCATCATGAATGCTCCTTCCATGGCTAATTAGTGCCCGAATGGGACTTGAACCTGAAGCATCTGACTCAGACAGATGTACTACTCACTGAACCACAAGACCACCTCTACAAAACTACACTACAAATTAAATTTACAGTAAAGTAATAGTACCATGAGTTTCTTATTTATTTAACACTTATAACGTATACATGTGAAATACTTGCTGTAGATCATATTGTAATGAGGTATGCATGAATACACTAGGTGCCTGCAGAATGTCTGTGAATTGCAAGTTTGTATGGATTATTTAGCTCCCTTTTAGTTTTTTTGAGTGCTCCAATTTAAAAATAACTGCAGCAAAGCTTTAGTCATAAACAAGATAATGTTTATTTTATAGCATCGATTCCTATGGGGTTAGGGCATTCCAAAGCAAAAAAAAAATGTACCTGTACTCTATATGCAAAAAAAATGACTTTAAAATGGCCAACTTCCAACTGGTAACTCAAATAACTGTTAATGTAGGGTTTTGGAGTAGATTTGTAGCTTGGATTGTGGGTGTTGCGGTTGGTTGGCTCACCGAGCTGGTTTGTTGTTCTGCAGACGTTTCGTTACCATGCTGGGTAACATCATCAGTGTAGCCTCCAATGAAGCGTTGGTGTGTTTTCCCGCCTGGTTTTTAAACTCTGGAGTCCGTTGAGCTGGATTGCCTCACTTCCGGTTTTCCTTCGTAGTGGAGTGTATATGGGGTTGAGTTCTATGTGTTTATTAATGGCATTCTTCATGGAGTGCCAGGCTTCGAGGAATTCCCGTGCCTGTCTCTGCTTAGCTTGTCCCAGGATTTTGGTGTTGTCCCAGTCGAATTGGTGGTTCTCCTTATTCATGTGGATTGAGATGAGTGAGTATTGGTCGTGTCTTTTTGTAGCCAGTTGGTGTTCATGTACGCTTGTTGTTAATTTCCTTCCTGTTTGTCCGATGTGGTGTTTCTCACAGTCTCTGCAGGGGATCTTAGATGATATTGGTCCTGTCCATGACGGGGAGTGGGTCTTTAGTTCGGGTGAGCAGTTGTTGTAGAGTTGACGTGGGCTTGTGTGCCACTCTGATGCCCAGCGGTCATAGGAGTCTTGTGGTTAGTTCCGATGTGTTCCTGATGTAGGGTAGTGTGATGAGTGTGACGGGGCGTGTAATATCTTCCTGATGTTGTTCGTGTAGGCATCTTCTGACCTTGATATCCAAAAAACTGGGTCAAAGAAACCAGCTCGGTGAGCCAACCACCATCAACAACCTCAACACCCACAACCCGAGCTACAAATCTACTCCAAAACCTTAGAGTTATGTGATTCTATGAAATTAAAATGCAACAAATCAAGAGGGTAGCTTTGGTTTCATTCAAAAAAGAAATTCAGTCTTCTGTGTGGGTAAAATCATTTTAGCTAAATGTATCATTGTTGCTGTTTGTGAAATTGTCAAGGAATGCTAACTAAAAAGGAGGCATGTCTTGACTTCTTACCACTGCTACTACACTAGAATGGCGTACTCCATCCAGAGTATGCTCTGCATTTCTGAAGAATTTGGGGTCAGAGTACTTGGCAGAAATGTGGAGCACTATCAGGGCGGAGAAAAGTAGGAGTGGCAATCTGATGATGATCGCAGCTTTGCCGAAGATGTAAGCCTGTTAATGTGAATGAAAGCTGGATTTAGAGCATAGAACATAGAACAGTACAGCACAGTACAGGCCCTTCGGCCCACGATGTTGTACCGACCTGGTATCCTACTAAGATCAATCTACCCTGCGTACCCTACATTTTACTATCCTTAAATGTATATTAATGTTTTGAATATATTTATGGTATGATATCCACCTTTATGTGTATTTTTAATAGCAAGTTAACTGTTAACAAAGCAGAAATTCAGTATGTCATATTGGGACGTTCTATCCAAAATTCTTTATGCAGGCTGGCTCTGACTTGTATTAAAACATTAAATGTGGTAAAAACAATTGATTTAGTGATAGTAATATGTGAAATTGGTCCACACCAACAATGAGAAACAAGTTTTCAGTAAACAAGAGCTCATTTTTCTATGTACTTGATCTTCTTTCCAATAAATTTCACAGAATAATAGGTGAAACCTTTTGGAAATGTATTTCATCGTCATCTTTACTTTGTTTCAAACTAAAATTGGACAAAGGTTTTGAACCGAATGGAGAATAAAACTGGTGTAGTGAAGAATAAACTCCAAGCTTGTTTCACAGTATTAAAGACAATTTCACCCTCTGAGTGTACAATTAGTTACAGATGTGATGTTTATTACCAAGTCAGATTGATTTTCCTTCTTCTGTGATGCATGCTCCTTTTTCCAGCACTTCACCATCTTCCATGTTTCCCCATATACTGTACCTCAAGCAACACCCTCAGTTTGTCACTGAGGTTTCCTTGCTCCCTTCTTTCTCAATCACTGCATTAGGCGAATGCTAATTGCTGATTTCAAGCTTCAATTGGCTCCTCTTTGTCTTTATCCCCTCAGATCACTGCCATTCTGTTTCACAAAACTTTTTACACCATATAAACTCTGTTATCTATATTTACTGATATCCTACAGCCTTAACATCCCCTATGGGCTGTGCACTCCCATGATCTTTGTCACAGACAAGTTTATCCCCATTCACTTCTTTGTATCCTTCACTAATTATACTCTTCAACATTCATACAATGACACTTTCTTCTGTGCTTGCTGCGGAAGGAGCTTTCTCATAGTTTACTAATCTATATTGTTATGTCCAGGTGAGGAGGAGGAATTGGCTCCCTATCTTTAACTCCACGCGGCTGGTTGTGATTAATATTTTTATTTAGCAATCAGCTTTCAGACTTCAATTAAAATGTCGATGGCTAGAAAAGCAATGCCCTCCCTTTGACCTGTATCTCTCTCTTCTTTCTCTGAATCTTCCTTCATTGTTAATTTTGAATAATTTATTATAGTGTTTGGGACAATTCATGATAATATAGTATTTTGAATTGCACTTGAAATGTTCATTGACTGCACCCTGAGCATTTTTAGAATTCATTCTCTTATAAGTCTCTTCACTTCTCAAAATTATCAACAGTATTTCTGTACTCATTTCTATTAGTTATAGTTGTCCTTTAATATTGTCACCTGTAAACTGTATTGAGATGGTCTCACCAATTTCTTGACATGTGTCCTCCATATTATGACTGATCACCGATTGCCCCATTGTAGTATGAATGAAACTGGAAAGGAATACTTCCTTAGGATTTTTTTTAGAGGTTGTGATTTTTAATCTATGTTTATCCACAAATTTAACTCCCAAAAGTCAAAATTAGATATCTGTCATGTTTCCGGCAGTTTTTAGGCATACTTATGCTGCATGTAGATGATTTTTATGGGGTGGGAACAGTGAATTTGAAACCATTGTCATAACTCGGCTTAGAGCAGAATTAAAATTTGGAAGCCAGGCTTTTGAGTCATTCTGGAACATTGCATTGGAAATCAGGCAGAGTGGATCAAGTGTCACGTTACATCAGCAATCCGATTTGGAAATGTAAACCTGTTGCTATTAGTCAAAGTAGAACCTCACAAAATATTGCAGAGGCTTTGAAAACTGAATTGAAGAAACTGTAAAATCTAATTGGACAACTGAATTGGCTGAGTACTCAAAGGGGGCCAGATGCTAGTATTGAAGTATTAGAGTTGAGTACAACAATGAAAGATTCCAAGGTGGATATTATTTAGGCAGTGAAAATACTGAGAAAGTTAAAAATGGAGCATTGTGCTTTGATATTTGCATAATTCAGAGATCCCAGGAATGTGAAACTTGTTGTTTTTAATGGTGCTTATCTCTGTGATGGGTTGTTGAGTGCAGGAAGGCTTGTATTTTTTCTTGTGGGAAAGAGAGGCAAGTGTTGCCCTTTGTTTTAGGAAGCTAAACATATTAGAACTGTGGTAAAAAGTGCTTTAATGGCAGAAACCCTCATGCTTGGTGAGGCAGTAGGTATGATGTTTTTCTTTGCAAAAATATTGGAAGAAATTCTTAAAAGTAAGTTACTAGCAGTATCCATTGAGTGTCAAATTGATAATGTTATCATTTTAGAGATAGTAGGAACTGCAGATGCTGGAGAATCTGAGACAACAAGGTGCAGGGCTGGATGAACACAGCAGGCCAAGCAGCATCATAGGAGCAGAGAGGCTGACGTTTCGGGCCTAGACCCTTCATCAGAAAAGGGGGAGGGGAAGGGGGTTTTGAAATAAATAGGGAGAGAGTGGGAGGCGGATAGAAGAGGGATAGAGGAGAGGATAGGTGGAGAGGAAACAAACAGGTCGAAGAGGCGGGGATGGGGCCAGGAAAGGTGAGTGTAGGTAGGGAGTTAGGAAGGGGATAGGTCAGTCCAGGGAGGACGGACAGGTCAAGGGGGCGGGATGAGGTTGGTCGGTAGGAGATGGAGGTGCGGCTTGAGGTGGGAGGAGGGGATAGGTGGGAGGAAGAACAGGTTAGGGAGGCAGGGACGAGCTGGACTGGTTTTGGGATGCGGTAGGGGGAGGGGAGATTTTGAAACTTGTGAAATCCACATTGATACCATTGGGCTGCAGGGTTCCCAAGCGGAATATGAGTTGCTGTTCCTGCAACCTTCGGGTGGCATCGTTGTGGCACTGCAGGAGGCCCAGGATGGACATGTCGTCTGAGGAATGGGAGGGGGAGTTGAAATGGTTCGCGACCGGGAGGTGCAGTTGTTTGTTGCGAACCGAGCGTAAGTGTTCTGCAAAGCGGTCCCCGAGTCTCCGCTTGGTTTCCCCGATGTAGAGGAAGCCACACCGGGTACAG